AGGCGAGCGCTGCCTGCGCGCTCGCGCTGCTCGCCGTCACCTCCGCCTCGTGTGGTGTCGAGATTCACATTGCCATTGCGTTTGGCGACCTCCTCGGACTGCACCTCGGCGGGGTCCACCACGCGTTCGAGTACGTTGTTGGCGGCGCGCCGTTCCAGCAGCTCCAAGACATTGTCGACTGCAGCGGACCCAACTCGATCACGCTGTCGCAGGCAGCGTGGGACGCCCTCGGTCCGTCCGCCGTCGGCCACGCGCTGGTCGACGGCCGGGCCTACGCGCTCACGGGCCTTGCGTCATCATCATCATCGACATGTATGTCCCACGGTCGAATGGCGCTGCCTGAGCTCTGTCCGTCGACACTGGATGCGATCCGCAAGTACGCACCGGCGCCGCTCATGGCCACGATCGACGTCCAGCAGTTTGACCTTGTCGCCGAGTACCGTCAGTGCTCGATCCTCTTTGTGACGCTGCAAGATCTCTCCCTGGCATCAACCGTCATTGATGTGCACCGGCTACAGACAGTGTTTGTGCGCCTCCAGCACATTCTGCACTGCCACGGCGGTTTTTGCCGCCAGTTTCTAGCCGACGACAAGGGCACGGTGCTCATCGCCGCCTTTGGCGTCCACGGCTTCTCTCACTTTGACAATGCCCTGCGTGCGCTCAAGACCGCGCTCGAGATGGCCGACGCGCTCGCCGACCTCGCTGTTGCCGTACGCGCTTTTCGATTTTCAAAAAGCTCACATTGCACTTTCTATGTAGGCGACGCTCGGGGTTGCAACTGGTAAAGTTTACGCCGGGCTACTGGGTTGTGCGCGCCGGCACGAGTACGCGGTCGTTGGGAGCGCGGTCGTGACAGCCGCACGCCTCGCGGGTCTGCCGGCGACAGGAAGGGACTCTGCGGCGTGCCGCGTTCTCTGCGATGCACCGACGCGTGATATCGTCGAGCATGAGCGTGACGTCGCCCTCACTCGGTACGGTGATGTGCAGCTCAAGGGCCAGCGCGGCCCCGCCGTCGTCTATAACGTGGCACCCGCGTCGGCGCACCGGGTGTCGGGACGCAGCCCGATGCTTGGCCGCGAGGCGCTGGTCGCGTCTGTCTTGCGACACTTAGTGAGCCACGACCGCGCGCTCGTCGTGCTCGAAGGCTCGATCGGCAGCGGTCGGTCGTGCTTTCTCAACCACATCGAATTGCTTGTTCCCAAGATGACGTCCGTGCTGCGGTACCGCGCGAGCTGGCACGACGCGCCGCTGTCGCTCTGGCGACACGTGGCGCAGCTGCTTCTCATTCCCCTCGTCGACGTCGACGAGCTGCGTCGCGTGCTGCACCGAAATCGTCCCGTGCTCATCATCGACGACTTTGAAGCGATCGACGAGGCGTCGCTCGAGCGCCTCGGCGACCTCCTTGGTGACGCGCCCCTGCGTGTGCTAGTGTCGGTTCCAACGACGACGACGTGCCAAACGCTCCGCTTCCGGCTGCGCCACCACTTTAAGCGTGTGTACCAGTGGAGCGTTGTGTGCAAGGTCACGGTGCGGCTTCCGCCGTTGGCGCCTGAGCACATTGCCGCGCTGAGCTGCCAGCTCTTGCACGCGTCAAGCCTCGCGCCCGACGTCCACAAGTTTATCTCGGCCACGTCGCTCGGGAGTCCGCTCTGGATCCAGCAAATCGTGCACTGCTTGCACACCAAAGGCTTTGTGGCGCTCTCCAAGAACCACCGGAGAGTGTCCTTTACGCCGGCGTTTGCATCGGCCAAGCGAAGCCAGCTCAGTAGCATCCACGACATCGTCCTCGCCCAAGTCGAAGAGCTCTCGGAAACTCAGCGCTGGCTTCTCAAGCTCGGAGCGATCATCGGGTCGTCGTTCCAGATCAACGAGCTTCTCTGGCTCTGCCACGGCTTCTCGCACCTCCAGGCATGGGTCGATGGTGACACGCTGCAGTGGCAGCTCGGCCTTCTCTGCAAAGCCGGCTACCTCGAGGTTCGTTGGAATGAAGTGATTATGATATTGACTTACACACTCGCTAGGTTGTTGACGGTGGCAGCGCTGTGACGGTCGAGACACGGCGCCGGTCGCACTCGGAGACGCAACACCCCAAGTTGCAGCGCGTGCGCCGAGGTCACAGCCACCACGACTTGGCATCGGCGCTCAAGCGAGCACGGCTACACGTCCGCTACCGCTTCTGCGTACATTCCTCTCTTCCACGACGTTGCGGAGGCTCATGCACATACAATGACTAGCATGCCAACGTGCGGGATGCGCTGCTCGACGTTTTCCTGCCCGCCCAGCGCCGCATGGCTCATTCGCTCATGATCGACTTGCTCGACGACCTCTCCGTCTTGCACGAACCGTCGCACCTCGCTCGGCTCGCCCACCACTGCGTCGAAGCGGGCATGCGGACCAAGGCGCTCGCGTACCTCGAGCGCGCCAGCATCCTCGCAGCCGCCACCGACGTGGCCCTATTTGACCGCCTCGTCGAGATGCGCTTTGCGCCGTCGGCGTCGCGCGTCTCGTGGCTCCTGGCGTCCGTGCGTGCGCGTCGCCTGGCGCGACCTGGCGATGTGGACGGTATCATGGAGCTGCTGGTCGAAGCCGTCGCCTTGGTGCACGTTTCCTCGCCCGAGAAGGAGCGGTCGGTGTCGATCCCCGTCGCTGGCGCCTGTCTCGCCATGGCGACTTGCATTTGCTTGGAATATGAGTTTGCATCGTCGTCCTGGGCGAGCCAGCACATCGACGGCGCGACGTGTGTTCAGCAGCTCACGCAGCTGCCCGATCATGAGTGCAGCCGCCATCTTCTCGACGTGGACGTTCTCGCGGGCTACTGCATCGCCCAGCACGTTGCCAAGCGTCCTGTCTTTCACCGCGCGATAGCCTCGGCACCCGCTAAGCTCTATGCTCTTGCTGCTCACCGCGTCGCCAGTCTTTGCACCGAGACTTTGGCCATCGTCTCGCCAACGACCACGGAGGCTCGCTGCGTCATGGACGCTGTGCACATGCATCTGGCGTTTGGCGCAAGCGACGACACGCACTTGGTCGAGCTCATGAACGTCCTCATGACGTCCGAGGACCCGCGTCTCGCGCAGTGCCTCCAGCTGGTACGTGGCGACACGCGAGAGCTCGCTAACTGCATCGCGCTCAGCGACGACGACGTCCGTCTTCTTGGCGGCCTTCCCGCGCGACTCGTGGGCAAGACGGTGCTCGCCAAGTACTACGACCGCTACGCCAACAGCACATCCCTGGCGCTGCATCACATGCATGGCGCGATTGAAGCGCTGCAAGGGCTGGCGACCCGGGCGACGACCCTCCTATGGGCGCCGCGCGCGCATCTCTTGGTCTACGCGCAGTGGCTGGCGCTACTCGCCTACGACATGACGCGGCACATGGACGAGACGCGTCGACTGAGCAATCACGTCACCGCACTGGCGCGTGTCTGCGACGAGCTCTTTCCACCGACGACGGTCGGCCTTGGCAGCCTCGCGAGTGTCTTCTTCCGCAGCTTGACGAGCCTCGTGCTTCAGAAACTCGAGCCGGCTCGCGCGAGCAGCGATCACCATGATGCGCTCTCGTCATTGGCGAGCCGCGCGTGCAAGGTCGGCTGGCTCAGCTTGCGCCGCCATGCCATGTACGTTCTCGCAATGGAAGACGACGCGGACAGCAAAATCTCGTGGGTCCTGGACGTTGAAGTTCCCGAGTTGGCGACAAGCTATCTCAAAAACTTACATGCAGCCTCCACCAATTCCAGCAGCAACAACAGCTATCGTGATGCGTCTCCGGACTGTATTGCCGGCGCGACCGCAACCCTCTCCCTTGTACTCTAGACTATCTAATTTATACATACCACGTATTGGAGATCATCAAGATTTTCTTTTTTGATTGATTACACTGCACGGTCTAGTCGGATGATTACACTGCACGGTCTAGTCGGATGAGTACCTCGGATGCTATAGACCATGAACATGCACACTCCTTTGTGAGAGCAAGACTATATACGCTGATGTGTTCGTACAGATATTGACAGTGGCCTTGACGGCTCCGATTCTAGCTGGGTGGTAGAGAGGTGACGCAGTCCGAGCACCATGTAGTCGCGCTCAGAACGGTGCAAATCTAGACCGCAAAGAACTACCGGCACTTGAGGCACTTGCACTGTCGTATGCTCGATTTTTGCCCGAGAACCCGCTACGACTTACAATGCGACGTGCGCCGACTCGGACATGCTGCAGACGTACCCGTAGTGGCCTTTGTCGTCGCCTGCGGCGTCGAGCACGGCACAGCCTTTGCGCGCCACGTGCAGAGTTTCATCGCGACCGACGCCGCGATCGCGCCACAATTGGCGTTCCTTGCACAGCTAGCGATCGCGTTTCGCACCCGCGGTGTCGTCGGCGTCGCCCGCGTCATTGCACGCGACGACCTTTGTCGAGTGTCCGTGCGACGTCCTACGATGCCTCCTCCACGATGTGCGCCCGCGTATCTTGGAGGTCGACGCCGCGGACGAGCATCATATTCATGCTGAGCTGCAGTTTACTCAGGGCATCCGTGTGCTGCGGTGGCCACTCCGACTGAGCACAAAAGAAGAAACAGACCCTCAAGATCAACACTCGGCGAAAGTGATCTGCAACATGAACGAGCTCCGAGCCAGCGTCTTGATCTTTGAGAGCATCGGCGTTTGAGCCCGAATTCCAAGCTCATTTGTGTCCACAAAGTTATGAAGAAGCGTAGGTTCGAACGCGCTAATGCATAATCCTGCGTCGACGATCCATGTCGCTTCGGTGGGCACGACGCCGTCAAGGCGGCCGCGTCGTCGGCAACTGCCTGTGCGAGCGTTAGCACGGCTAGTTTGAAGGACTGTCAGCTGCACAGGGTGTACATAAGCGATGAGTGTGTTGCCGTCGGTCGAAAGTATCAGCGAGAGGCAGCTGCGAGAGGCATGTTCCCAGGACAACGTCGGAGGCGGCGCCTTTCCCGAGAACACGTCAAGCCAGCACAGTGTACTTTGCAAAGGTACCAGCATGTGGCTGTACATCGTACGTTC